ACACGCGTGTTTAGACAAATGTGCACGGCATTTGAGAGATTGACGTGTGATGTCAAGGTCTTTTGAAACTGCAATTGTATCCGTTTATATAGCTGACATTTTTTTTTAAACAAAAAAACACGAGATAAACTTTACCAAGATTTTACATATGTAAATTACATATAACGTAAATTCGTATAAAAACTATTTCAATTATCGTAGAATTTTCTGGAAAATTAATAGGAAATAATTGATCGCATTAGGTGTAATAAAACATCGATCAATTTCTTGAGCAGCAGTCATTTCTATAAATACATACATCGCTGTACAAAAGAGACGTCACTGATGAATAAACAACATTTTTCCTGAATGTTTTCTTGTCGCATCGCATAGGATGTATTGTTTGTTGACTGCTGACAATGTTTCAAAGTCAATACACAAACACCTCATAACAGATTGACAAATGCTATGCAATGTTACAAAACATACCTCTTCTTACTTCATTTTTAATGATTACTTTCAAGGTTTATTGTTTCTAGTATTTCTTAATATTTTTACTTGATCTATAACATTGTAATTATGTCCTAAGGTGATCTGCGCGTGGTCTACATGTATTGAATAAAGATATACCAGTGCTGATAAATTTAATTTATATTTAAAATATGTAGGTGAGAACACTTTTAGTTAAAGTTAATTTAAGTGATATAGATGTTAATTCGTAAGCAAAATATGTGAAAGGTTAAAGGGTTTCAATTAAAAAAAATGTATGAGATTTGGTATTTAATAGTATTTTATTTAGACGTCTGCCTTTAAATTTACAGAATACTATTAATCCAAAACGCGCCAGAGAAGCTGCCTATCAGCGGGTCGCCGCCGCCGCGCAGCAAGCGACGCGAGCGCAGCGCGCGTGGACAGGTGGTGGCCAACATCGAGCCCGCGCCCGCGCCCGCCGCGTACCACGAGGAGGACGAGAGCGGCGGCTTCGAGACATACCGCGGCAACCCGCGCCGCCTGCCCGCGCTCGCCAGACACGACCGACACGACCGCCCCGACAGGGAGGCGCGCCGCTACTCCGACGCCGACCGCGACCACGCCGCCCCCGCCGCGCCCGCCGCCCCCGCACCTCTGCCCGCCTCCGCCTCGCCCGCACTCGAGGTACGGCATTATACACACGCTAATTGTATCCCAATACATAGGAACCGTAGGCTTCAAGTTGTTTCTTCTGATTTGTAGGGAGGAGTATACCACATCAGCGTGGACCCGCTCGAAGCCGACATCCGGCAGCTGCTCGCGCTGGAGGCCCGCAGGGAGGCGCGAGCGGCGCGTTCGCTGCCCAACCTGCGCGCCAGCCGCGAGAGCCTGCTCCCACCGCACGCCCCGCCCCCCGTGCCGCCGCACGCTGCTCACGTCCCGCCCCTCGTAACGCACGCGCCGCCCCACACGCCGCTCGCCCCGCCCCACGCACCGGTCGCCCCGCCCCACGCACCGCCCGACCCCGCCTCCTGAGAGTGCCGCTCCGCGCGCCGCTCCCCGCCGCCGCTACTGCTCTACACCGACGACACCGTGTACTAGTTGTAGTCGTCTCGACTGAACTCAAACCCGACGATGTCAGGTCGTAGTTCCAGGTCGACTGAGCGATCACTGATGATATCCTGCCGCGTCAGGAACTCGGGAATGTGCGATTGTGATGGACCTATTTAACGTTATATGAAGATGTATCGATACGCTTTGGAAAAAATCGCCAATATCTTAAATCTAATTAGTAAATTTAATGTGCATAAAAATGAAGCTCCGTAGTAGAGAAGTTTGCTAGGGAAGTAGTTACTGAATTAAGTATATCAGTCATTTTTCCAAAATTATTACTAAAGCCCGATATTGAAGTTAGAAATTCGCTCAGATATTTCTATCATTTGTTTGGTTACCAACATCGTATGCCCATTTTGTGTGACCGTGTTTGATTTGTGACGTCGTGCGTTATCGACAAGCCTCCCGAAACTTGATGTAAGTATTTTGTATCTTCACATTTATCCTAAACTTATTTTGTTATAACATTTGTATTACATTAATTTTATTTAAACGCCATTTATAGCTTGTATTTTACATTTTTATTTTCAACATATTATTGCCCACCATATAATTACTGTCATTGATGCCCAATGTGAGATAGAAGAAAATTGTGTCAATATTTTCATGAATTTTCAATAAAAAATGTCTCATATTATGTGTGTCTTCCTTGGTAACTTAGAAAAATTTATAACAATATTCACAATCAAGTAAATTTCCTATTTAGTTTTATGCTCTAATTACCAATAGTTATTAATTTAGCAAAATTGTTTTTTTTTTATTAGAAAAAAATTGTCCTATCGATCATTTTCTTTATATTTATTTGTATATAGTATTTATATATAATATAATATATGTAAAGTGTATACATGGAAATCATCCGTCTCATTTTTTTTTTGCTTTTTTTTATTTAAGGCTCCTAAAATATTGTTTTAATTTAAAAATGTTGTGTAAAAACGTGTGATTTTATATTCTTACCTAAATATATATTGTTTTTACGAGCGGTTATCTTGAATTTAACTTAACTAAACTTCATTAAATATAAATTAGTCGAAATGATAATAGCATCAAATTAATGTAATCCGAAACTTACTAAGGCAATTTTTTTTGGCAAAAGCAATACAAATTTTAGATTTAAGAATGGTCAGAAATTACAATGAATCAAAAAAAACTCCATTCGAAATCCGTCCTATATGAAGTACGTAATAATTATCAGTATTCTTGATAGCAGCTCGTTACATTTTTAATGTTTTTTTTAATTAAGATGTCTTAAAACATTTCTTCCATCCCATTGAGGCTCTCTAGGATTTACTAGTTTTAGGGTCTCGTAGTATTATTAATAAACATCAATATGAGTAAAATATATGTGTAAATTGAAATTTAGTGTGTTAAACAAGATTTTTTTGTTTATAAATAACTGGTAGAAACCAATATATATGTTTTTTACTAACAATCTTGTAACGAGTCTTGGTAATTTTTAGGTGGATAGTTAAATGTTGGTTTTAAATAATAATAGAAGGGCATTTTGTTATGTTCATTTTTGGGAAATAGTAAAATATAGCCAATTTCCTAGTTTCGATTTTTACTTTGAGATATGTGAAGAAAGTCATACTTTGTATTAGTAATTATTTTTATCATTAATTTACCTTTTAATTTTAAATAAATTTCAAATTTATCATTTTTTTACTATTATACAACATTAATCTTCCCTCTAAATACATACATTAATTAAATAAAATGTATGAATTAATAAATTAAAATTAGGTGTCATACCACTAGATTTATTTACCATGGGTTTCTGAGATCAGAATCCCCGTTTAAAACATATTGTTATCTATGTTTTGTCAAAGATGAGGGACACGGATATATGTTTTATACTGATATTTTGGTGTCAGAAATCAACGGTTACATGAGGCTAACTTTTCTTTAGATTAATTGTCCAGATGTAAGTAATAAAAATATATACTTTAAATATTTAAATAATTATATTGTTTAAAACTTTCTTTACCTTGATACCCAACTGTTAAATTATTTTAGATAGGCATTGTAATAAAGCATCGCTTATTATCTGTAAGTAGATAGATAATATACATTTGACATTTGGTGCTAATAAATCGAAAGGTAATTCTTGCCTTATCGTACTTTGTATCATCCAATGTATGGATAAAGCAAGGAACCTATAATGTTAATTGGAGATCATTGTACATTGTCGTATTTGCAAATCCATTTTCTTAATTTGTAAAATATCTTAATGTCTAGATATTAATGTCTGTAAAATATTTTCGTTCAATGTAATCCCGTTAAAATTAATGTCGCAATATTAAGTCAATTATAATTGTTAATGTTTAGTTTTTCATGTTTAATTAAGATCTAATAGGCATTTATAATATCATCTTTATAGGATATTCAATTCGTATGCTGATAAATTAAGCATTTTCAGCCAGCAAATGTTTAGTTGTCATTTTTCCCGCCTTTATGTCCAAACACGTTTAAATATTTTTGTCACATTTATTATAACTTTATTTATGTGCGATTGTAAATAATGTATATTATAATGTGATCTGATAAACTAAGACGTCGTTTTAATCAATTGTAAAGAAGTTAGAGATGTAATAATTCGTTTTATTGTTTTGTAATATGGTAACACCAATTAAACGATTATAATTAAAGACCCAAAGAGACTCACCTCTATAAATGGACAGGCTATAAAACGTGGTGTTTTGTGCTTATTTGATTTTCGCCATTTTGGAGCTGACGGTTGCGGTGGTGAGAATTCTAACTAATGTTGACATGGAAATAATTATAACAGACGCGTTTAAGTCGGTACAAAGCAAAAGCTGTCATATCTAACTAATGACCTATCCATTTATAGAGAGAAGTGGCTGAAGTCTTGTAAATGTCATATTAAGTGTAGCGTAAGTTATTGTAATCGGGTGCTGATTGATGTTTTCGTTAACTGCATGTGTTTTCTGGCACTTTGCGTACTTATATTATCCTTTACATATCACAGTTGCGCCTGATTCATACAATACTTGTAAATAAATCGATGTCGTAAGTCGTTCGTAATAACTGTAAACGGTTTATTCCTTCAGTCGATTGCGTTTGAAAGAGTATTTTGTAGCATTTGTTTATATGCGTTAGGTAGTGCCTTAATTTAATCCAAATGTATTTTATAATCTGTATCAAGTTTTCATAAATCATTTAATCGTGTGATAAAGCGTCCGTCATACGGCGCATGTGTCTGTATATTGTGATATAATTTGTTAAGCCTCTTTTTCTTTTCTTTTATGTTGCTCAAAATTTGTTTTTCACTTTTGGATCTCTGTACTTATCATTCATGAAATTTGTAAGACTGTATTTTATTTTGTTATGTAAATTTGTTAATTCCAGGTAAAATATATAGTTATTTTGAGAATTACGGTTGTTTTTTTTTTCGAGTTTTAAATAAAACAGCTGCGTAGATAAAATAAATAATTTATTTAATATATTTCGAATACATCAAAGACGCGCGCTGCGACCAGAGCTCGGGTCGACGTGACTAGACTGTACACTCAACTCTTATGTTAGACATAAATTATATTTCTGTACAAACAGAAGATCAACACTTACAAGTTACATGTCTACTTAAATAAAATTGTATATAACTAATACTCGAGTATTAGAATTAATAAAATCCACCGAAATTACACACCGTTAGGGCGACGTCAGCGCCCTCTACATTAATTGTTAGTCTTTGTTTCGTTACAAGTCGATAAAATATCTAAATACGTAGCGCCATCTAACCATTTCTTACATTTTAAATCAGTTAAATATGATGGATAGAAAAGATCATCAAAAAAACAAAATATTTTTTTTGTGGTAAATTTGGTATTTTGATATGGCAATGTTTAACTGATCTGGACGTGTCGCTTAGAGCTCGGTGTCTCCGAGCACGTTGTACATGAGCCTCTTGAACGAGTTTGACTGCTGGATGTGCTCCTCGTGTAAAGAGTTCACCTGGAACAAAGTATGCATATGCAGGAATATGTTACGTTTAATGCGGTAATGAAATTTGTAGTAGACAGTATCAAATGTATATCATTAATAATTTTATTTGCTAGAATAGCACTAAGAACGATATTAGAAAGAGATAGAAACATTTAAATAGAATAACTTACGAAGGTCGTTTGTTTTGTTTTCGAATTCGCCTCACTTTGCTTGGCTTTCGGAGCGGGTGTCGGCCTCTGTTGAGTAAATTTTACTTGTATCAAGAATATACAGGTGGGCTTATTTATTAGACCACATTTGTCATCTACCAATTTTAGCTTCATAATGTGATGGATTCTGTTGCGAATTTAAAAAAAAATTATACTCTTATTTCATCAAAATCCAACAACCTTTTGACGAAGCGTCAAATGTGACGTATACATAAAAAAGAAGAAGCAAGCGTTATGAAGTTACCTTGTTGTGAGGCGCGGTGAAGACCTTGGCGGCGGGGGGCGCGGAGTGTTGTTGCGCGGGCTCGGAGTCGTGCAGCGCGCGGTAGGTGTCGGAGGCGGCGGGGTCGTATTGCACGGTGGGCTTGTGGCTGCTCACGCGACGCGTGCGGGTTAGCGTTTAGTCGCGGTAGTCGGTTAGCGGGCGCAACGAATACAAAGAAAATAATTACACTCCTCGTCTAGCGCACGGAGCGGTTAGTACGTACGCGTTAGATAGGATAGGACGTTATATTAATCTTATAATTCACTAATTTTAATAACATAAACTACTAATACGTGAGAGTAATGAAGTGCTCGATGGATTTCGACACTTCTTGGCGACGTGTCGACGTTGTCACCATGCGAGATGCGGTCGCTTTGAAATCGAAGAGATAAAGATAGATAGCAAAATAAATAAAATAAAAGAAGCATTAATGCGTCATGAGAGATGGTCGTCGACTTTCGGTGTTTCTAGTAAAACACTTGCCTCTTGACAACGTTCGGCCGCCCGTAATGGCCGTTAGAGCTAAGTGAGCAGAAAATACTCTATTAATACACAAAACTAACAAATATCATATTCAAATTTAAACCATTTTTATTAGATTTGACATTTGCACACATTTCAGTATTAATAACAATAATCTAAATTATTTTAGCTATTATATGTTATTAACAATCTTTTAATATCTAACTCAACACGTAACTAGAACACGATTGCAACAAGCTATTTGCAGGTTTTTATGTACATTAAAAAAAATCCCTTAAATAACTTTGAAGAAATAATTTATCGATATTAGCACATCTAGATGAAATCTCAGAAGTCATATTCCAGAAAGTTCTGTCACCATTATGAACAGATCAAACCAAACAATATAATATTTGTTTTAAAGTGTTTATATTTGTATTTCGCCTGGGATTCGAACCAGCATACCCTAGACCACAAGGTCGTTACACAAGAGATCTGTGAATCTTCGCATATTTTGTACCAAATCATTTGGCACATATCCATGCTCTTGAAATTACTAAAGTGAACTTCGTCCAACTGTTACGTAATATTTGATTTAGCATTGAAAATTGAACTATGAATTTTCACTTTAAGTAAAGAACATAATTTATACTAATATAATTATTAAAAGGCAACTAATTTTATAGTGTTTTGAATTAAAAATAATAATATATTAACTTACGGCAAGGGCGTTGTTTGTTGTCGGATCGAGTTGGCGATGTTTTGTTCCGAATATAGATTGATGGGCGAATTGAATTGCTTGTGCACAAACTGAAAAGATAATTATTACTTCAGTATACCAAAATAAGTATTAATAACCCAGATGACAATAACAAAAATGTAGTCATTTTAATGTAAATTTAACAGAAAAAAATAATATAAAAAAATCAAGAAACATAAGATTGTTAATACGTTAGCTGCCAGAATTATTTTTTTAAAGATTTATTTTTTATTTTTGTCCAAAACCATTTGAATGGGCCCTTGCGGGTCACGCTGTATACAACAATTTGATTAAAAGCTACAGCGAGGTGTTGAATGGAAGTATGGCTTGTCGGACACATAGTCCGACACGGCCTAATTGAAATATTAGCTTGTCGGACTCAGTCCGACATGGCAGCTAACGTGTTAACCATAGAGTAAATTTGATACTATCCAGTTCTTTTCAGACATTTTTCTCGTTTGAAAAAAATATTTTGTTAACATAATATAATCAGTTCTTTAAAATAATGACGTATGACAATGCAACTATACAATGAATACTGAAGCTACACAACAATGACTATAGACACGCGAATGCATACATGGACTTAAAGATACGTTGCAACGGAATTAACTTAAAATTTAACCAAAATACAATTGCATTAAAAATTATAAAAAAAATTAGCTGTAGCCCGCGACTCTGTCCGCGCGGAAGTAAAATAGATGTCCGATTCTCAGACCTACTCAATATGCTCACAAAATTTCATGAGAATCTGTCAACCCGTTTCGGAGGAGTATGGGAACGAAAATTGTGACACGAGAATTTTATATATAAGAAAGTCATAAAGTGTAAATTATATTTACAATTTTGTCATAAGATACCATGTTTTTTGACAACTGTTTTCATTCTGAAATGTGACGTACAAAAGGGAATTGCAACGTATCTTTGTTAAGAAAGAATCGGCTTCGTATCAGAAGTTTAGAGATATGTGAGAATGTGATGACGTCATGTTAGAATGGGTGAAGCCGGTGACGTCACACGTTAGTGAACCACCTTATTGCCCTCTTCGCCCACCACTCGCTGCAGCACCGACTCCGCCACCTGAGTTTGTTACAGAAATAGCCAAATGTCAACACAACCATGTCCTACGTCATCTCTATCTCATCATTAAAAAAAAAAATAGACGGGTTTGTTTTTTTATGAATAAAAATGTATTTGCCAATGTTGTGTTTTGTGCCAATCATGTCTTTATTGTTTTGTGTGAATCCACAATATTAATTGAATATTTAGTACAAAAAAAATTTTCGGTTTTGTAAAATACTAATACTTTTTCGTATTCAAAGATTTGACGAAACTATGGTTTACTAGACATTTGATTTGAAAGGGCTGATTTTAAGATGGTTGGATTAATCTATAATAATTTATTAAATTAATTTCAGCCAACTATTGGTAACTATCAGTAATGTTCACATGCTTAAATGTATGTCTAAAAGCATTTAGTATTCTAATATACGCATTTATGTGATGGTTAAGTGTGTGAAATCTATGTGTATGTGTGTGTAAAATACGTGCAATATATTGTAGCAATTGCTTGTGGCCAGTGTAATAGCTTCTTTGTACAATCATTGAGTATAGAAATAATACTAATAATAGTTTAAAAGTTTACTACAATATTGATAAATTGTGGCGGCTTTGTTGCGCTTCTCTTCACTTGCAGACATGAGCTGATGTCAGCCTAGGACAGCGCACGCAGGCTTGTGCCCCGCCCCTTTTTATTTAAGTCACGCCCATAAGATTGTATAGTACGCAGTGTCCCGTGTAAAATCTCGAGCTGTCAGAGTTGTGTTGGTACATTACCTTCTGCTTCATGAGTGTGTCGCGGTAGTCGTGGTGCGGCGGAGCGCGCATTGCGGGGTTGGGATGATGCCGCAGGTAGCTCTCAGTGGGGCCAGGCTCGCGACGCACCTTCGCGCCGGGCAGTACCAGTGGCGTTGTACGGTACGGCTGCAATTACACGAACAAATACTCAGTTAGATTATAAACAGGACTAGAAATTAAGGACGATACAGGAATAATATGATGCCAAATTGCTTTTGATTTGTTTGAACAAAAAAAATTTAGAAATAAGAATCGAATCGAATGAAAATTCATGTTGAATTTCTCCAGTAAAGCTAATAAACATCAAAAGAAAACATACGATATTTACAACATAATTCAGAAAAGAATGAGTATTAAATTGAACATAGGATAACATATTTCAAGCACAAAAATTGCCAAAATTGTTTGTTTTTTTAAATCGAAAAAATATTACTTCAATTTCTATTGCAGTTTATTCAAGCATATCTGTGCCACTAAAATTATTAGTACTATTTTTGACTACAATTCCACCACTTTATATGCCGAAATTTGTCTTCTATGGTATTGGGACCAAAAGATTGTGAAGGTCATATGCAAGAAAGGGTTTTTTCTCGAAAGTTTTAATTTTATTCTACCAACACATAAAAGCAAATATAACATTGATTGATGTTAGCACGTCTATTGGTAGCACTAGCAATGTATGTTCAATCATTCAAACAGCCGTCTCGGGCGCTCTATAAATAACGCCGAGGTTGGTTCATGTGGGTTATTATTGCTGGCACAATTTCGTTACATTTCTGTGATTACGCGATTTTATATGGGTCGCGGTCACTCATTAATAAATTGTGTCTAAAAAGTAAATTAATATTTATAATGTTAATAAGCACGACGCTCACTATAAACTGGTAGGTGTTAAATCTTGCGCGGGTTCGCATTTCTGTTAATGATTTTGCGGAGAATTATCTATTCTTAACCATGTCTGCATTATTGTAAAGACACATACTCCTATAACATATTTAAATAAAATTTTATTACATTTATAGTTAAGATAAATTAACAACGTCCTTTCCCTCTTAACATTGCCTCATATTCTAGATTGTACACATTTATTCATCATCAGCTCATTATACGTCCTCACTGGGGGGCTCGGAGCCTACCCTAAGTTAGGGGTGACTAGGCCATAGTCAACCACGCAGGCCCAGTGCGGATTGGTTGACTTCACGCGCATTTCTTTAAATTTCTTCTCAGATATGTGCAGGTAGCATCACGATGTTTTCCTTCACCGTAAGAACGTCTGATAAATGTATATATGTAAATCGAAAAACACATTGGTATATGGCGGGATTCGACACCAGGATCTGCAGATTGCAAGTCAAGTGCTAGACCACTGAGCCACCAACGCTCCATTTATTACACACGACACATTTATTAGCGAACCTAAAAACGTTAGTTTTAAGTTTAGTAATTTTCCATGATGTAGCTTGGCTAAAGTTTTAGCGGTTTTCTCATAAGAATGGACAGTAAAGTTTTAATATAGTTTTATTTTCGTTGCATTAACGAGACGGCGGCGTAGCAAGGCCTACACGGTGTAATTGTGCCAGTGGCGCGGCTTTGACGTTTATTTCCGTCTTGTTTACAAAGACGCAACTTTAGTCACTGACGCAACGTGCTTCATTTTGTTCGATAGGAAATTTTTGATATTGCTTTTTTTATACTTAACATAACACATTAACTTTCTTCAATCAGCAATGATCATTACTACGATTGAATCATGAGAATTGTAAAATAACTATTGGTTTGTTATGAATTCTTTTGACGAAATATCTCATCGATCATCTGAAGTTTTAGTGTTCTTTAAAACTCTTAAAGAATCAAAGTTATAAATGCAAAACACTTTTAAATGGGAAGCCTTTCTTGTCCTTTTGCGACAGCGATCGCATGATCGATTAATGGTTTCCACGAGAAGAATGTAACAAAGTAAGTGTTGCTCTTATATATATTGAAGTGATCATCGTGACTTTATGTTAAAAGCATTAGGAATTACAGATTAGATGTTAAGCATATGATTTGTTTGGCGCCAGGCCATGTGTAAAAATATCCTTTATGTTAACATTAGAGATCGTTTGTAAATTATAAGTATAAAATATTTGTAATATAAAGAGAAATAGGATACCTTGATAATATATTTGATGTTCCAGTTTCATTTTGATTATTCGGAGTAGAGCAAAATATAACAAGATATGATTTCGATGGTGTCCGTCAATTTTAGAACATCAACACGTCATAAGGTAAATAAAGGGTATAACTATAGAGTTGAAGATGGCAAAAATCTTAACGAATTACGGAGAAAAGATTCCGATGATCTTAATACTACGTCATAAGAATGTATGAAGGCGACGACCACGAGGCGACGTCGTGACATTGACGCTAAAATAGCGCCCACTGCTGGGAATTTTATACTTCACTAGCCTGTTCCCGAGATTTTGTTTACGTAGTTAGTTCGAAAATTTGTATTCAATGATTTTATTATTAACCAAAGCAAACAACAAAAAATATAACTTATAACAAAGTTGTGCAATAAAAATATGTCTTGAATAATTTAATCTAATAAATCTACAAGACGACATAGCAATAATAACAGAATCTTACTAATAGCATAATACGAAAGTTTAGATGGATGGTAATTCTAAAATGGATTAATGCATCTGGATGAAATTTGTCATAGGAATAGACTACTATCTAAAATAACGTATAGGCTATTTATTAAATTTAATTTCTTATTTTGCGCGTAGGAAGTTGTGGGCAAAACCTGGTATATGAATAAAGCTAAAACTAAATTTTTTCAGCAAAAATGATAATAGAAACATGCTCCTCCGTACCGTCTTTAAAGTTTCTTATCATTTATAAGACAGGCATATTTTTGGCTTAATTTGGTAAAGCTTTGTTAGTTTATAAATCAGGATTACTACTAATAATTTTTAGGAAAGTTCTAGAATTCAATATTTTTTATAAAAACAGTTGTTACTATTCATATAAGTATGACATCCATTAACAAAACAAAATCCGTTTTTGAGACTGCAGACACTGTATAGAATTATTTTATGTTACTAGTTTAAATAGACTTTGGAATTTGATAAATGCCATTAAAGTGCTATTTACCGTTATACTATTTTCCTAATATAACTAAACATTATGGAAACTCAAAATATATGTTGATGTAAACTTATAGAAGTTTCCAATTAACATAAAAATGACAGGATAAAGGTATAAAATAAATGATCTGTATTGCGAAATAAAGATGATTAGGATCGAGATCAATGAAAACTTTAGTAAATGTGTGTAGTAAATGATATTACTAATATGTTATACAATACGCGAACTCCAAATGTTCTGGAATTAGATTGTGCGAATCCATTGGCCACTTAAGCACGTTAGTATGTTAATCATCACAAATCACGCTGAAGGTAGAATACAGCAGAGAAGCGAACCCAGTTTGTGACCACTTCTTCTTCGGGATGCATGGGGTCCTGGTACCCGTTGGGGAAGAAATTGGGGTTAACAGCCATGTTATTGGCACTCGGTAGCGCGGTCGTTTCGAACTGAGCTCTATCGCGGACTGTGACTCCAGCCAACTCGCCAGTAAACACTACGGTACAAAATCTATTTTGGAAATATGACGGGAGAGGCAGCCGGCGACGTGGGCGACAGCCTAGATCAGCGGAGCAGCCTTGTCTCACACGAGGGGAGAATTTATTGTAATTTATTAATTCAACATTTGGCTGCCAGAAAAAAATCGTACATTTCACTAAATAACTACGCACACAAAGGCTATTTATTATTTTATTTAGACGTAACATCATAAACTGAAAAATTTGCACCAGAATAACCCTAGTCCAAAGCAAAAACAGTAATTAAATTACTATTTTGGTTATCGTAAATTGTGTATAAAAATATATATTTCAGTTACAACATGTGTTACATAGGGTTTTTGAATAGACTCTGTGCAGTTTCGTACAAGAGTTTGACGGCTTACTAAGTACAGTACTTTACATCTAGTGATCTTCACCAAAACATTTACAACAATAATTATGATGCTGTGTTAAAATTAATTACAGTTAAAAAACAATGATAAAAACGACATGATAAATTATTCAATTCTAATAAATAAACATATTTAAATCTAATAAAATTCGTAAGAAATGGGATTCTTACTACGATTAATCTGTTTGAGCGAATGCTATAAGGGTAAATACCACGAAAGTTTTACTCTTAAAAGAGGTTCAGGCTAAGCGTTACCCTTAAACGAGGTTCAGGCTAAGCGCCATCTGCGCTCGGCCACCTCAAGCCCGGTGAAGCTGTAAATGCCTCCTCAAGGCAAACAGTGACTACTCAGTCACAAAAAAACACGAAAGTGTAAAGTTACATATTCAAATCTTATCTGTAAAAGTCTTTTTACAGAAGTAATCACGCTATAAGGTAGGAATTTTCCTCTTACGTTTATTAGGTAACAAAAACTTTAAATAAATTTATTGCATATTTATTTATATAAATATCGATTAAAATAGAGACATACTTTCGTTTAATTATGTTGGCAACTTTCGGGCCCTAAAGTTGGCAACATCTTGTTTGGACAAAATGCACCGGTATTACGAATCGATACGGCCGATATAAAACAGAGTCATACGAATATTTATTGCGTCGTATGATTCAGATTGTAAATTTAGCCACCGTAAGAAAATTCTAGATTTATACAAGTGTTTCGACTGTGGTATATCACGGCTAAAACTTTATGTTTCTTTTCCTTTTAATCACAAGCGTCAATTGATCTAATTAATAGAGCTAAAATAAAAAAAAAAGTTGTTGGCATCCGTCCAGTCTAAAATCGTTCATCTATATTTAAAAGTGGTTAACCTATTTCATCTCAAGTTTTTGAGCAAAATGAGTTTTCGTAAATGCATATTATGAACACCCTATATACTATTATTTACTTTAGTCAAACATTTTATATTATTAGTATTATCTAATACTAGCCGTTAGTCACGATTCAGTCGGTTCGGAATATAAAAAAAACTTAGTCGATGCGCTATTCCAGGCTGTAATCATCCTTCATGCCACATTTTATATCAATCCGTTCAGCCGTCCTAGAGTTACGTAAACATCCATATAAACTTTCGTTTTTTGTTTGCAGAATACAAAATACAGAATTGTATTCGTACAATGATTAAATGTAAACTCAGACCGTCAGTTATATCCGCTTTGGAAGTGATTTATTTAGATTATTTTGGCAAGAGTACAGATTAAATAAAGGCACGTAAGAAGCAAAGAGACGACCGGAAATATATAGAGAGCTGGGATAAAATAAATATTTACGTCATCCTGCGTCATGTTTGGTAAATATACGTATGTATTATTACGTATATAAGCTACTTTATATTACATGAATCATTTATGTATTAAAATGTATTGCACATCTTTAGCTTCGCCTTGAATATGTAGGATGTGTACCTTATTTTTGTTCTATACCCCATAAATATTATATGACGCAAAAACTGACCTTTCCTTTTGCATTTTCATTACCAACGAAAAGGCGATGAAACGTTTTTACTACGATTTTAATAAAATAATTTCTGTTATTAAAGCACACATTATATTATTTTAATTAAATTAAAATAAATATTTCATTTTTTTACCCACACACTTTTTTTAGTAACAATTAATTACAAACTTTAAAAAATACTAGTTTAACACGATCCTGGCATTATTAAATACCCGTAGTGGTTCATGTGGACAGCCGGGGGTCCGCGGAACACCTTGTGGGATGGACTTGATGTCTTACAGTACTCTTACCTGGCTCTGTATAGATTCGTCGATGACGTCATCGCCGCGACTGGAAGGCGGCGTCATCATGACGGAGCGGAACTCGCCCTCCTGTTGCACAGGGAACTGTGTGTACGGAGGCACTGGGGTGCTCCGCGGTAAAGACTCCGGACCGCGCCATGCCGACGGTAACGGACTAGGTGTCCTGTGTTAAAAAATTTATCAATTAACTAAATTTTTTGGCTAAGACACTTGTTTATCCAGTGAATCATTTATCGTTTTCGATAATTTATACCTTAGTACATCTGGCAGGTTTAAACGGACATATTGTATTAGGTTTAAAGAAGTAAAAAGGGTTATGAATAATACTTATAGTATTACCTGAAGGGAGGTGCAGCGGCGTTGACTAACGGCGAGCGTGGCGCTAATGTCGCATCGCGCGGCGCCTCGCGGTCCACATCCCTACACATGCTGCTAGCTCAATGCACATTCTACATTACGTCACGTTGACACGGACAACAAACATAACAGTACTTTCCGCGCAATGAAAAGCACAAAGATATTTACGAACGCTGACAGTACCAAGGTCCTTGTAAATGATGTATTGAATAGAATATTCATGCTTGCTTAGTTTATATCATTATCGACCCTAGAATCATTGAAACAGACATGCACGCTTTGAGCTATGTATTATCCAATTAATCATTAGATCATTGCAGTGACTTATTAACATCAAAGATAACTGTTGTGGCGATAAGCCAAAGACCTTGTCAATGAAATCGAGGGAAAATCCTACGCGTGTATTGATTGATTGTAGGAGGTGCGTCTAAAAAAATGATGTAATACACTTTATGATAGAAATATGAAAAAACAGGAACTAGGAAATTTAAAAATAACATTTACATCATTTCTAATTTGATTGTGAATGGCCGCACTTGTTATGAAAATTGGTACGTAACATTTGGCACTCGATGATTCCAAGTTTGAATTAATCATTGCTCCATTGCATCATTTTGACATGATTTAATGCAATATGTTTAAATAAATATACGCGCTGAGTTACTGTTAAAAGTTTCTCACACCTGGATTAAAAGGTGATGCTTACAAAATTGTGTATTTATTTTATTGTACTCAGGAAACATCTGTTCAATTTTGAAACTTTATTTTTACCTACAATAACTCTACTATTATTGCTAGATTTTTCATAATCACAAGTCTGTAAACTGAAAAACGTGCTTTTCTTTGTGAAAATACTAATAAACACTAAATAATAATAAATGAAAAATGTCCCTGTCCTTGGCTTTTTTAATAGTAGTGTAACTTTTCATGCCCTAATATTTCTAGGTATTATATTTAATATACATTAACATGCAATTTTACATTAACTTGAACGTGACAGAATTAAAATGTTGGTATCGTGCAAACAACATATATCATGCATAATATTTCTTTCTATGGAATATCTAATAAAAAAGTGTTCTTTTTTAACGTATCAAATATTTCTTACATCGACAGTATCGAAATAATGTGATTCTTAATACACTTATTAAATTAACTCTTTCCTTCATCTGTTTCTCCTCTATGCGAACACCTTATAGGCCCTATAAAGTTTTCGAAATTCATATCTTAAAATCTTTACTATTTACTTGTTATGCAACAATTAACATACATATAACATCGATGCAACATGCCACAACATCGATATCTTACTCGAATCGTTCGTAATAGAACGATGGAGTGGGCGAGCGGCCCGAGAAACTGCTATAACGTGTCATCGGACACAAGTGTGTACTCGGCCTGCCTCTAAACATACCAACCACGAGTTCTATAAGTCCCATTAATCACACTGAATGTAGTCAAAGAATTATATTCACTGCCCATTCGAATTGAATATCCTACAACTGTCATCATAAGAATTGTCTTGTATGCATTAATATTTCACCGATATGAATAGAAAATAAAAGACCCCGACTATAAAATTTTTGTACAGTCGAACTTGGATAAACGAAAAACTATAGATGAGAAAAATAGCGCGGTCCCTTAGACTCTTGTATGTCCAGGTTCGACTATATCTCTAGCTTATTAAATGCACTACTAATCATAATTATGACCCAAAGTTTTCGCTCGGGAGAAGATGAAATATGCTTAATGAATTATGCTATGAAGGTGTTAAAACTCTGAAGTAATGATTACCTCTGCACTACTAATTTGATTTGGTTATTCGCGTTCTTGAAGAGGTTCTGTGCGTCTTCATGGCGCAGGTCGCGTGCATCGTAGTCGTCAATTTTGGCAATTATGTCGCCTCGCGCTAGTTCCTTTCCTGCCGGTGTACCTGGCGTCACCTGGAAATTAATACATTATTGTTTAATATAGTTATCGACATTAATACTTTAAAGAAAAAAGATTTGAATGCTCGTTTGGTTCAGATAAACTCGGAAATTAATGAATCGAATATGGAAAATATTTCAGTAATAGACAGCTTTATCATCTGCATGTATCCTTGGTTTAATTAATCGGCCCAAGCGAAGCTAGTGTTGCAAGCACTTTAACAAACTACCACAAAGCACCCAAAGGTTGTAGATTTTTAATTCTCATAGACCTGCCAATTAATTTCAAAAGTTTTAGCTCATCAAGTGTTTAACTTTAGTAATGTATAATGATCAATATAAAAAAAATGTGTGTGAAAACCGATATTTTTGGTGTGTGGCCAATATCTGTTGTGTTAAGGTGCCAGTTTGTAAAGTGTCACCATTTGACAGTTGGCGCGATTTTTATATTGCTTTTATTCGTGTTAATTTTGCTTGTAACGGTTATACAAACTAGTTGGATTCTTTAAATAGGCACTCCATATTTTTGCGAATTGTAACTTGTAATTCAACTGTTTTTTTTTTTGTAATGAAACTAATCTGCATTTTTCTTAAGATAAATATGACTTTGAGCAATAATAAATTGCGGATACCAGATGTGCGAACATCAAAGACAAAGCCTGTTTTGCGCCGACAGAGCAAAGTGAACATTGAATTTAGATTTAGCTTTAATGTTCACTTGTACTGCTGGAAATACTTCAGCTATGTTTACTAATACCGAAGTACTTCTTATGGAGTTTATTGATACAAAAGTGGCAAGGTGGCGTTACATTTGGCTTCGTTTGTTTGGGTTAAAATGATTTTCGGGTTTGTTGTTTGGTATACAAAAGCAATGTATACTTTAGTATTTAAACCCATACCTCTACGCATACAAATTTTTATATTTACAATTTTTGTACCCATGAACCCATAAATTTATGTTGAAGAAAATTTCATATAGCATTGAACTAGCTCTACCATTGAACTACAAGACATATATTACGGCATAATGTCATTGTCACCTGCCTCACCTTCGTGTCTAGATTCGACCATGACATACGAGGTTCTTGAGCCAGGTTAAAAGACATGAGACGGTTAATAAAGCTTTGCATTTCTGTTCAGGGATATTTTGAGAGTTAGTAGGTCGGCGGGCGAGTCGAGTGGTCATGAAATACTATAGAGGGTAGATAACAGACATGTAATTAGCTAGGACGACCTTGCGCGTTAGCAAAGGGGAGGTTGGTCGTGTGCTATGCACCGAGCTTGGCGTACGGCCAGTCTAAATGCGGCCACCGGCTCTCCGTGCCAACCGCCGCTGACATTTTTATTGAAAACAACCGGCCGGCCGGACGCGACCCGTCGAATCCACGCATCGATAGCCGCAAATCCATCACGCCACCGACTCAATGGCGAGGACGTGAGCCTATATTTACACGTGTCCAACGGTAACGACGTCTAGATTTTAGAGGGCCGGTATTTTTGCGAACGTCATTTTGGACACCCATAGATTTCACATGAGGTCGGTGATGAGTACCGTCTGTGTCACCGAGAACGGCTGGCACACTTCCACGCTTATCTAACTCTTACGCATAGCGTTAATGTGCTGTTACAATATTTTTGTAGCAAAATTACTCTTTGCAAGAATTCAACGAAAATACTTTTAGAAAATTACGAGTGGAGGAAAATCATTAAAATCCTAATTTACAAAACTTAACAAAAAAAATAATATTATACATTTTAAAGTATAATAAGTTAAAAAAAATACGAGCCTGTTACGATATGAATCACAAACGTTTTAAGGCATAGTGATGCTCGAAAAAGATTCTAATAGCGTCTAGAAAACTATTGTTAAAAATACTTTCCCCAGATAAGTCTATGACGGATATAATCGATTAAGTGGATTTCAATCAAATAATGAATGGAACCATCGAGACATTAACGTATATTCGTTTGGTCAGCTGATTTATTGCACGCTGTTTGTGAATTTCACAAATCTATCCAAAAACATTTTATAGCTAATAGTATTCAACAGGCCTTTTAACATTCCGAGAGTTTGGCACTGTCACAGTTTTGTTTAGTTTGTATCATATGAATTGCATTCTTTGTAATAATATTAACAGTAATATGAATATACTTATTTTATTTCTGGCATAGAAAAAGGTTTTATCTTGTTGGGTCGCAGTCGTTTAAGATCTATTAATGCTTTTCGCTGGCGAAACAGTTGATGAAAAGATACAGTATTAAAAATTGTCCCTGAAAAAAAAAGTACAACTAACTAAACTGCTACGACGCTACGTCGTAGGTCGATTTTTCTCGGGTCTATTTTCAACCAGAAAAAATTGCTTACAAAAAAATTATGCACAAACATCCTTAACTCATCAAACCTTAGTATGTAAAAATCAAAGTTAATATTCCCTCGAAAACGAAAAACAAAAATTGATAGTGATAATCGTTATGGCGCGTTAATCATTCATTATCAAAGATTAGAAGCTACTTTGGATTTGTTTGTTTTTACGAAGCGCGAATCGAAATTGTTAGGCGAGTATGAAAACAAACTCGCTAATATCAATTGAGTCATCGTTTCAGTCTACCAAAGAGTTTTATGGTAAAAGCAAAAACGGGCTCAAGGCTACAGTCTGTGATCGTCAGATTTATTACTACTGAGGTCAGCATGGAGTGCATCGAAAAAATAGATACATCCCAGATGGCAGGCGTGTGTTGGTTACTTCTACACATTGGTTGGAGCTTTCATTTATGACGCATATGAAATTAATATAAGAGCAGATAAGATAAATATATGAGGGAATGTTTAGTTACTAACGCACGTGATATAAACCTAACATTATATACTTTCCTGAGTGTTATTTAAACATTAAAACAGTCCCCTGTCTATTTAATGCAGGAATACTCAAAACTTATGTTATGCGAGATTTATAGTTTTGAATTTTAGGATTTATTCGGTGAGACTATTAATTAATTTTACACGGGGTCTTATCAACTCCCTATGCGTTATCGTGGTCGTCGTTTGTCTTTACTTTAGTTTTTAAAATACCAAGATAGATCTTCAATCATCTTTTCAACGCCTTGCATGTCCTTTGTAATTTAAAACTTCGTTTGTGTTCAGCCAGTATTTCTCTTTTGTAGGCACTACCAAATAGAAAAGTGTCTCTGGTTGACTAACAATTACTACAGTACACGAGTATTACAAATAATTTTGATAAATTAAATCGAATACCTCACCAAAAAGTTAATAGGTATAGTGTAAAAATATCTCGCTTAAAGAATTTAGGAGCAGCGGCAATAAAACGACACTTCCTATTGTTTTGATTCGTGACCTAGAAGCGACGCGACTAGGAGCCTAGCCGGCTTTTGTTATAAATAAACCAGAATTAACAACAGCCGCGTGACACTTCTAGCTGACTCACTGATTCTTCGACATATCTTTGTATTTATGGTTACTATCTGTAAAATTTGTGTTGAAACGAAAGTAAAAATGTTTGAATTGCTAGAGCAAGTTATATTTTTTATATAAATAAAAAAAAACTATCGATTTTTACGAATAAAAACTATGTCAACTTCATAACTGTGTTCCGGTATTTGAAACTTTATGTTCTAGAGCATCTCTATAGACTAATGAACTATCTTTGATCAAATTCTACGTTAAATTAACAGCAGTTAAAATAAAATGGGTCGATGTGAGATTTTGTCGCCAGCTGTCGAACGACTGTGACCGATTCTTGTCCCCAATTATATTTTAGTCATATAAATATTATAAGAGCTTTCAGGGATTTATCACAATTTCTTCTACTAATATTGATTGTGGTTGGCGATTTAAAATTAGTGTTAAGATAAAATATTTAGATAAATTTAAGTAAGGAGAATATGACATTACTAACTCTACCTTTTTCTGAGAAACACACAAAATGTTGAAAAAAAATGTTGTCAAGCACAGTGCATGCCAAATTCGTTGGACTGGATGCAAATTAGATGCTGCTTCGGTATAAGTCTTGAAAAGCTAACCGTAACCTTTACATATAAATGGTGGATGGAAACTTTTACAATTGTTCAAATTATACAGTGCTGAATGTATAACGAATTGTTTGTGTCCTGCAGTGCCATAAAAATCTAATCTACGTTAATCTTGGTTAACATAGCCGTAAAAACGGTGAAAGAATTTTTAGTATCAGTTTAGTTCATTCTAAGGATAACCCTCGCAAATGAACAAATCATTCTCCTAAACATACTCCAACCACTAACATGCCCTTAGTAAGCCTTCTTAAACAGATCCAGTAAGCTTACAAGTATGAAATCTTATGGTCATCGTAAAGTCTTTCTAAGTGAAAATGTTTAGTTGAATATTAAGTTGATTGTTTACGCCGGTTGTTGTTTTGACGCAAGCCCAGTGTCAATAGAAAGGGCGTACCCTGGTGACGATGAGCGGGGTGGCGAGGTCAGCGCCGCCCACCAGCCGCAGGCCCCAGTTGATGTCGCGGTACTCTCGCCTCAGGGTCACCACGAATGTGTGCAGTCTGCCCATCGTGTAGCCGTGTGCACTGCGCGACACGCGCGCCCTATGCGCGGACGATACCACCACTACGGCGAGACGCGACGTTATGCGCGCAGAATTAGCTTCACCCGAAATCCCAACACTCCCCCTTCCCCCGACCTAGCCTCGTAACCCTGCCTTCCTTCGCAATCGACCCAATTCCTACCACGGAAACTGCACACCTATTAACATCCGAATTTCCAGCAGTATCCTGTCGTGCGCGCGCGAGTTATTTGTAAACGATCGAAATATAATTTATGTAATACCCGTTCTATATTCTTGTCTATGTTAGACCCTAGTGATTATATGGGAGATGTCATGATTTCGTAACATTAAATGGTCTGTGCGTAAAATTGTGTGTTGACCATAGACCTATATTGCATTGACGTTACAGAAATAGAGCATTAATAATTAAATGTAAGGGCAGAGCGAGGTATTAGCCATTTGGCAGGCCGTGAAATGCGCGGGCGGGGACGGATGATATATCGCTCTGTAGATGCAATTGTTTATGACGATTAGAAGGCATACATTACCGAAGATTAGTATTATAATTAGAATATAAATACTTTCAGTTTCTTCGATGATGCTGCTGACAGATTTATTGAGGTCTAATTTCAAACCGGGTAACGACTCTTGTGACATGTGGCATTTTGTGGTGATAAAATAATTAAAAAAACTTACTCGTCGTCTACCGAAACTTCTTTGTTCATCATCAGGGTCCGGCCTCTGATGCGGAACTCTCCAGAATGCTGGCCTCTGGTACATAGGCATGGTTGGGTCGTATAATATCTTCAGTGCTGCGTAAAAAGGTTTATTTTTATAAGATGATCAACATTTTAATGAAATTGTTTATGCTTTACAATGATTTATTTTTAATTAAAAATTATTAAAAAAAAACATTAAAACCATTTCTCGGAAAACTGCACATTCATTTCTGCCAATAAAACGAGCATTATCTGCAATAAATATTATAAACTTTGGCAAACACTCCGACGTTGATATCGGCCGTGGAGCAAAACTAATAAAAACATGTTTACAGTTCAACAACCAATCCATAGAAAATCTGGACGTGGGTGGTTGGCGAAAAGGTCCACATAATAAATTATCACTTACGAGGGATCGTGTTAAACAGAAGTGAAATAGTAAAAGTGTTAAAGTGAAAAAAGTAACTCACCAGAGGGCGTGCGTTGTGTCGCCGTCGACGTCGGCGCTGGTATTATCCGTAAGGAATAATTCCCGGCGAATATTGGGAGTATCTATTTTTCGCGTCGGAGTATTCGAGCGAGACGTCGCTTCGACAGCGCTCGCTTTCGTGATTTACACGCGCGCCTTTACACACGCTCTGTTTCTGGGCCGCACCGAAATTCGCAATAATTCCTTCCCAACGGCCGACACCGCCAAAGCGGTTCATTGCTCCCGATATTTTGTTTTTCAGAACGAACTCTTTTGATAATCACGAAGACTTATATCGTGATTATTTATGTTTCTCTTGAATTAATTTAAACGGACGACGCCTTAATTCCAAAGAGATTATTGCTCTTCGTGTCGAGGATGAAAATGTAAAAGAAACGTATATGTTGACGAATTAAAATGTAAAAAGCTTAATTAGTAACTTATATTTTCTCTCAGGCTACGTTCTACATCTATGCCATGCCATGCCATATTTATCTATGCTATGCCATATTTCAGCGAGATACCTTTATACAAACATCCATCCATCCATCCAAACATTCGCTTAGTAAGATGGTCACGTACAATACGTTACTTTCTTACCTGGGACAAAACAGACACTAAAAGTGGCAAAGTATTATTTCAAGAAATATTTAAAAAACATAGAATTTTAGATAAATCATTGAAAAAATAAAAATAACAAAACACATTTGTAATAAAAATAAAAACACAATATTCGATTTACAAATTTCCTCTAATCGTATTTATAGATTTGACGAAGTACAATATGTCCGTAAATTAAAAAACAGAGGTATTTATAATTAAAAATACATTAAAATTAAGCAACAAATACAAAAGTTAGATCCAAACAAAGCAGATCATTGATAACTAAATGCGAATTACAACAATTGAATAACACTCCAAAATAGCAGAGTTATTTACACATTTATTACCTATTTAGTAAATAAGCCATGTCTCATATTTTTTTAACATTTGCTATAATTACTATAAATTCTCAAAATTACAAAGATTTTAATTTTTGATAAAAAAAAAATTGCTGACAAAAGTGATTTTAATAGAAAGTTATTCTTAATAATGTAAAATACAAGAAAAGCCTCGTGATATTTCCTATGTGAAAAGTAAAGCCATTTTTAAAATAACGCTCGGCTTCCATTCCTACATTTTATTCTTATAACAAGCAATATTTTAAAGACAGTATTTTTATCAGTCATTAAAATATTTAAATAATAAATGTATAGCTATTTTATCTAATAGCCTCATTAAAAAGGAAACTTTACCAAATAATAATTATTTCTTTTATCATAACAAATTGTCGATTATAGTAACAAATTTGATCTATGGTATCATAGCATTATAATCTTTAACCATTAAAAAATAGAGCTTAAAATGTAATGACCAGTACGTGAAATAAATTCGAAATACTTTAATTAAAAATGTGCTTAGAAATCGAGTAAAGCAGGTTTGGTGTCACGTGCGCATTTGATTAGGGAGTACATAAGCTTTACGAATCCCGTGTCTTTGGGCTTCTCTAAACCTCGTAGCAGTCTGTTCTTCATTACGGCTACAAATTCTCTGTTACTGAGCTGACCGTCCACTATAAATAAATTATTTTAAATTACACACAAATGTCTTTGTATTCATGAGCATCGATGTTTACACAAACCAAGGTAGAGGAATACCGTAAAAATACCGTATGTATAAAAGAAAGGATTGACTTCAGTCGGTCTAGCAAAAATATTTGTGAAAATTACCTTAGTATCGTCATCGTCACGCTTGATAGGAGCGTTCTATAATACATATATTCGTGCTAGGCCCATACGTATGTCGAATTTGATTTATGGTCGAATTTAATGTCATTTATTGTCTATGGATTTCCTTTGAAAAAACTGTTTAAAGATATCTATGAATACAGCCTTATAAAGGTAAAATTATTTCAATAGGTTTGCTATAATTTCTCTTTCAAATTGAATTCGACGATACGTCATATTCGAATTTTGGCATGAATATTGCTATCTCAGGTTTTCCAAAGAGAATGAGAGGGATGAGATATATGATCTTATGTCAGTTAAGCGGTATACGTACTGTTCTCATCAAATATAGTGAAGACGACATTGATGACGTGAGGGTCGAGGTCAACGTGTGCGACAGTGCGGGCGACGTGCCGCAGCGTGGGCTGGTCTATGGACGCGCCCGCGATGTGGTAGAACGTCAGCGCAGTATCCACATCGTTTATGTTATTAAGCAGGTGGAAGAACTTTAAGTAGTCGTCTTTTGTGATACCCACGCCGTGGTCGCGGAACCTATTATGTGAAAACTTTAATTGATATTTTATCATCTTACAGTGGTAGCCAGCAAAAATAACATTTGCTACACGAATGAGTACGCACGGTAAAAGGACACGGTGAATACACATAGAAGACAGGCGTCAAGTGGAAACAATTCCGGGTTTCGTCTGATGAGTGTGCGTATCAGAGGCCTAAATTTAGTCCCCTTTTCCTTCCCGCTCTTTTCTTATTAGGAAAGGATATTCGGCAAAGAAAGATAAAATGCCTTAAGTGAAAAACTGTAACAAATTGTTCACGACGCTATTACGTGGACATATGACATATATTTTAATGGTCTTATATTCAATTAGGACTGTTTTGAAAAGGCAACTCACAGTATGTGACGAAGGTGCCACAGCTTACGTTTGATTTTGTAAGAAAGTGAGCATCTTCCAAATAATATATAAATGAGTAATACATAATAAATATTTAGGAGTAACTTACATTTTCTTTACCCGTTTTAACATCCTCGCCTTCTTCTTTGCAGGATAACCGGCGTAAGCTAACAACAGCTCTGCAAAGTCAGCCTCCGTAATACGACCATTTTCATCTGGAATGTACAACATATTTCTCAATAAATACTGTTAGGAAGGAAATCCGACACTGTGCCGGTGTACTGGTGCAACACTAGTCTTACTAAAATGTCGACGTTTATGTCCCCTCACTAATCATTCTGACACTTGACTTGGTAACGAAAGCACGCTATTCGCGTCAAAGGATTCTAACTAATAATGTCTTAAAATACATAATACGTAAAAACAAATAAAAAAATCGATAATTTCTATTAGAAGTGTTAAAAAATGTAATCTATAATAAGAGTTTTACCTGGCTGTTTTCTCTGGAATTCGAGAGACAAAATTTCTTTCTGCAATTGTTGTTGGAAGTCTAGGAACTTTTCTATTGTCAGTTTCTCATTTAGTTTCGGACCGAAGAAGTATGTGGTCAGCGCTGAGTTGATACCCTAAAATTAAATGCAAGAAAATATCAAATCACTGTAATACTATGATCATAAACTTTTTAGATTATATATAATAGAATAATGGGAGTTTGAATTACATTCTTCTTTTATGGACCAAAAAATGTTCCGGCCTAACACGACCGTGGGTGTACAATCAGGGACACTGGCGGTGTTACACTTTAATATAACTAATGTGAGGGATCTTTGCAATAAAACTATTATTTCCTCACATTTCCAGGTCCTTTATTTATGTTCTGACACATGTTCTTATTTTTATTAAACTCTAAAACAAACGTCACTTCTTTTTTGACACATTCGTACAAAATAGGTTTTAATCTACAACAATGACAATCGTTCAAACGTCCATACGTATTGAGACGACGAGGCGCAAAAATAACCAATAGAAGGGAAAAAGACAAATTGGATCTTTGACCTTTAAATCTACTGATAATTTCTGACCTTGAATGTGTTGCCAGTGTTGGCATGGTCACGGTGGCGGGATCCGATGCTGCTCTGCTGGCGGATGAGTGCAGCCACCTTCTCGAACTCCTCGCAGTCCACGTCCCCGTCGCCGTTCAGGTCGAACATGCGGAACGCGATCTCGAAGTGACGACGCGATGCTACAACGAGATGAATGGATGTAACTACGACTTTAACTCATCGGACATAGAGAATGGTTTTCTAAAATGTTCTAATAAGTAAACTTACATTAAAACCTCATTTTAGTAGAGTAGGTGTTCGTTTTTTAAAAAGATATGACTAAAAATAATAATATTTTTATTTTTTATAGTATCGATAACAATGAGTTGACAATATACAGAAATTTTTTCACTGGAGGAATAATTGGACATATTATATGTTCTCCTAGGATTCCTTCTACATTTCAGGGTAATCGACTAACCCACCATAGTACATTTTTGGTTTTTTATGTTTATTTGCTTCACGGTCTTTACAATATCGCAGGCCGAAAACAATGATCTAAAATGAATAAATTTTCATATCTTCCAAAGACATAAGTCATGTTTTTTTAAGAATAATGTCAAGTTGACCGCCACTTCTGTCTTTGGTTAAATTTGGTGTCTTACTGCAATTAGTTAAATTTTATTATTATTTTACTAGCATAAAACATAACATAAAATATTTTTGGTCTTGTCATTAACAATAATTTAGACATCAGTCTGGAAGTCTAGAACATGCGTAGCGAGATAGAAAATCATTAAGTTCGCTCATGCTCAGTCCGTACGATCTCAGAGATGCTGCGTGCAAGTGCTCCTGCCAAAACAATACCCAATATCCTATAGCTTGCTTACAAACGAATTAATGCGTTCCTAGTTTTTTGAAACAAGTGTTACAAATTTTTATCCTTTCCTTCTTCCCACATGTTGCATTATAATGTTATTTTCCGTGAAACGTTTTCGAGCCAGAGTGAAAACGAAAGCTTTCTATTGCTTGAGATGCAGCGCGAAAACAGCCGCTTTCTTATTTTGGGCGACTCTCTACATGATTGTCATGAGATTGACCGTGTTCAAGAGTGGAGAAAGCAAACAAGCGAAGGATTGGTCTATTTTACCTGACAATTACACTAAATGGCTGGTAAGTATAAACAATATTATTTTAGGTGTTTGTTTACATTGTTGATTTACAAGTGATAACATACTTTTGTGTTCGAATTCAGACCTGGACGTTAAAGATTCGATTTCAGTATATTCTTGTACATTTTTTTTAAATATTCCACGAAGTATTTTGCGTTGAATGAGGGTCTAAATATATTTCATATCCAATTGAGGTTCAAACGAATTATAGAAATATTTTCTTTTTATAGATGCAAGGCCCAGTTTTAGGTGACGATAGCCCGGAGGAAATAGCAAACAATTTACTAGAACCTGACAACGTGACAATATCCGAGTTAGAGACGCGAGCTGCCAGAGTCCAGAATGTCTGTCAGGACCGCTCTCTCGACTCGCAGACGATCAACAACAAAGAGTTTTTTGTAGACCACGCACACAATCTCGTGTGGTGTAATATCTTCAAAGCTGCGAGCTCTTCATGGTTATACAATTTCAATATTTTAGGTAATTTCACTAATCCATTAACTATATAATTAGGCTCACGATTTACTCCAAATTGTACACTTTTTCAAGAGGTGATAATGATGTTATTTTTTTAATTTTAGGTGGTTACGACAAAAAGTTTTTGGCGCGAACCCAACAGACGCCTTTGACGTTAGCACGAAAGAAATTCCCTCGGCCCAGTGAAGAGGAGTTGAGAGATACTATCACTACACCCGGTGTTATATCACTTTTAGTCGTACGAGAGCCATTCGTAAGATTGCTATCAGCTTATCGCGACAAATTGGAATATAATTCGCCGCCATTTTATAGAAAACTCGCTAAAAGTATCGTAGCAGAGCAAAGAGAGGAAGCGATTAAAGTTTTAGGACCAATTAAGAGTATTGGGCCAACATTTTACGAGTTCGTAGCTTATTTAATAGCAAAGCATAAAGCGCAAGGCCCCAAAATGGTCTACGACGAACATTGGGCGCCGTATTATCAATTTTGTTCGCCGTGTGCAGTCAATTTTACAGTAATAGCTAAAGTTGAGACTTTATCCAGAGATTCAGCGTACGTGATACAGCAACTGGGACTAGGACAAGTCTTGGAAAGGAGAGTGAAAAATCGCAGGACGAGACTTCGCATTATAATGAACAAATCACGAGATGGCAAGAACACTTCGGCTCTGCTTAGGCATTACTTTGGACAACTTGACGATAATATGCTCAATGACTTGTTACATATATACGGCATTGATTTCGAAATGTTTGGATATGAAACTAATTTGTATAAACGTTATGTAAGACATAAAAATCTTTAAATTTTCTATACATGGCACTCATAGAAGAAAAAAAAACAAAAAAACCCGAATGACTGACTGGCTGGAAACAAAGATTTTAACATGTTAAATTTTTTTAACAAATAATAAACTAAAATTACATACATACATTTTAGAGAATATACTTGAAAACATATAAAAAATGATTTAGCAATGTAAAAAAAGTTATATCCAAGTTTACACTGATTAAAAAGTTTATTTCTTCTGCCAACTGTATGTGTTTTGGGCCGAAGTAATGTGCCCTTTGACACTAGGAAGTAAAAAATCGAATGACACTTCACTAGGTTCTAGTCCGTCACAAAAAAAATTATATACATACATAAATTATTTACATAAGCATAAAAAGCATTACCATCTTGTCAGTAGGGTAATCAGTCTTATTAAATTAATTAAATAATTAAATTAAATAGCGTTTTTTCTCTTTACTCATTTTTCTGAGAATTCATAAAAGAGTTAGCATAGAAAAATATTTTATAAAAATACTAATTTCAACCTGAATAAATTGGCGGATTTTGTCTAAATGTATGCACATTTCCTGAACCTCTTTGTTAATCTATTAGAAACTTCTATTTATTAAAATTGAAAGCACTTACTTGATAAAACAGTGAGTAGAAAGATGTAATCACTGAAAGTGATTAGACCCGAAGAGCCGAGCTTGTAGAAAATCGAATCTTCGTCAAGATCTAGGTTAAGTCGTTGAGTGATACTCTTGAAAATCAAAACAATTGAAGAAATTAATATTTTATGAATATATAAATTAACAGAAAGTTACATTTTAAAGCAGATAACTATTCACCTACTCGTTATTTCTATTCTATTCAGTAATAAATAGCTATTTAAATATTTTTGTATGAAACTATACTTTAATACTATTTATTCATAAATATGTTATTATTTTCTAAATTGTTAAAAACTACATGTGCTCAATTGTGTTGTTTATTTAATAAATCGAACAAAAAAAAGCTACCAAAAACAAAGTGTGTAATGTACCTAACTTGGTCCTTTTGTCTCAAGCAAAATCGCATTTAGCTATGTGTATCATGCCATAGGGTAAGCTAAGTGTATAATATATTTATATGTTCGTTGTCTGTACCTTTCTAAGTGAAATATTGGATAATTTATTATTGTTAAATAAAAAATATAAGGGTTTAGCAAAAGTTGTATATGAAAAAAAATATATAAAAGATGTTTTTTTTCATTAATTTTTGATAAGTATAGATGTATACTGTTAAGAAATGGGTTGGTAGATATTTTTAAACTATTTTTTTATTTAATCTCTGGCATATTTCATATGATGAAAAAAATTAAGTAAAAAATTTTAAGATATATTCCGACAAATTTTATTCCACATTAAAATGTTGCACCTTTTTTCGTTTTTTAACGCTTTGGTGTGCAAATAAAAATCAAAACAAAAAAAAAATTCACGTTATAAAACTGTTCAAATTTAATAAAACGGTTTACGTATTTACTGAACAAATATTTATTTTTAATCCCTTTCCTTCCTTATTTACAAATATTAAAAATGTTAACCTTGCTAAACCCTCGAGAAAATAAAAAATACAGAGCCAAAATCTACAATACTTGTGCAAAAAAATATCGCTTTCAAATTCTAACTTCTATAAGAAGTAATCTAGAAAATTCGAGTTTATTTAGCACTGGAAAAGAAGTTATCTGTGCATTTACTAGAAGAATTTAATAGTGTGAGCTGAAAAGGCAAAGAGAAAAGAGACAGGACAGTACCTCATTGATGTTCTGAAAAGACAAGAAAGTGGTGTAAGTGATTAAAGACAGTGCCAGTGCGATAGTATTCGAAATATAGAAGGTCAGATTGAAATATATATTCGTGGTTACATTAACTACTAATGCCCGTATAAAAAGGTTATGTTATTTACATAATTATTGATGTGCATGATATATTTTTTGTATCTTTTTTTACTTATATCGCGTGAAATCAAAACAAGATGTGGCCGATTGAAAAAAATGTTTTTATTCACATTTCGAAATTTTACAAAGAAATACGTTTTGCAATAGCTTCAAATCAAAACCATATTTCATATGTAAATAGTTAATCAGTAGACTATGAAAATGTCGCCATCATAACAGAAAGTTAAAATCAATAGATAGAACCAATTTTGATTCCTAATCGTGCTATTTCAACAACATTAAAAATCTATTTCTATAAAATTTCATTGAAAATTTTTACCTGAAATTATTCTTAAAAATGCTATTAGAAATGTAATCTAGAATAATTTACAATCTAGACCTAGAAGTAATACTAGTTCAATGAATTACATAAACACTTATCTAAATCAATATATTTATAAACTAAAAACAAGATATGAAATATCAGTTTTGTGGTCACATTAAAAATCAATTAATGTTTAACTTATTAGAAATTGTATTTAATACAGCATTAAAAAAAATGTCTTACCTTTGGATCATATCTTCTATACTGGTCCAAACCTAAACCTGTAAAATTATAACTATTAGGGTCTATTGCTGATTCAAAATGTAAGAATATATCAACCAGATTGGTAGATATCAAAAGAAAAGTGGTAAAAAAACTTTCCGTAACCTATGAACATGTATGCATAAATGAATAAAGATGGAAATATGTTAACTAGAAATCCATTATCTCTACATAACATACTGCATGCTATATGAAACAAATTTTTAACTGAAATAATGAATCTGTAAACTAAAATTTTCTTAAACTATTATACATAACAAACCACATAGGTGCAAGTAGTCATACTAGTAGAATGGAGTTTTTTTTTCTTAGTTACAATCCGAACTAAGCCCTAAGTTACAAATCCAAATTACATTACCTAAAGACAGCTACGAAATTTAACAGGTTAAACAATTAAAATAACATCATTGTTTACCATCAGGTTGTTTCACTCCAGGTGTCATTGAACGTAAAAAGTCATCTGGTGTCATAAACACCTCATGCTGATCATGATGTTGCGCCTGTAGGGTCGCAAAGTATCTAAACACCTTATCAGGTGTTGAATACTGTCGCATACGATTCTCATACTCGATTATCTGATCCCGCAGCAATCCAAATAAAAAAGTTGACATGTTTAGTAATGACCAACACCTTATTCATATTTGTGGGATTAGAATGTTAACATAAGGAAGGGTATTTCATAATGTACCTTCTAATTGTAACGGTTTAGTAACTCAATGCTTGTCAGTAAACTTTTGAAATACACTATGAATAAGCATGACACAACAACACATACAACATTTTTACTAAATGTAGTTATTTTGCCAAGCATTGCAGTCTACAGTGTTAGTCTTTTTATATCATTTGTTTTAAATTCATTCCAATGTTGGTATTCTCACCATATAATGAAAAATATGTAAATGAAGTTATTTTTTTATTTTCCCTTCAGATTAAGCACTGTTAATAAGCGAAAACTATAAATAAAGCCAACCAAAAAAAAAGTAAGAAATAATACCATCAGGCTGCTTCATGCCTGGTGTAATTGCTCTTAAGAAGTCATCTGGTGTCATGTACACTTCAGTATTCTCTCCAATACTCAATTTAACAGTAGCAAAATAGCGAAATATCTTGTCTGGAGTTGAATATGATCTCATACGGTTTTCATATTCAATTATCTAAATGACATTAAAATAAAATAAAAAATCATTGTGGAAATAAAAAGAAGAGTAAAAAGTTACATTACAAAATATTTATCAGTTACCTTTCTATCTCTAAATCCAATCTTTTCTTTTCTATATCTTTTCTTTTTTGTATCACCTTCACTTTCTGAATCAGTTTCTGTTATTTGTTCGGCTGCAGTTATTGCAGGAAATAATTGTTGTCCGAGCCTTAAATATTAGAATTATACTTTGATTAAAATATGTTATGTTCATGATATGTTAAGTTCAGTGTGAAATTAAGTAGACAATTGTAATTTTTTAATCTTTAGTGAGCCCATACAATTAGAATAAAAAAACGTAATTAATGCTACATTTATAACAAATTTTAGGTTGTTTCCATGCTGGAAATAAGTTCTAACAGACATCCATCAATCCATCAGTCTAAACTTTCGAATGCATAATATTAGCAAGATAAAATTAAAATTGTTCATTAACTGCAATATATACTTACCAGATCCTATAAGATGTATAAGTAACTGCACTAAATAAAATAGAATACAAGAAGTATTTGTATGAAAGTCGATGAACATTTTTATGTTCACTTTCGTGTGGGTTTGTATAATAATTCTTGTTAAATTGCAAGGTTTTATTTAGACTTCCTGACACTATAATTCTTGACACATCTCCAATTTGGGGCAATTTTGTTTTTATTGGTATTCCTCGTGCTGTACAACAACGTGAAGCGAAAGAGAACATTTTTTTTAATTTCTTTATTGCTCATAAACAGCTTGTGTTTTGGATTTTAATTTGTAACGATAGTGTTATCAAAAATGCTTTTCCATTTTTTGACATTCATTAACAACTGACACTTGACACTGACAATGACAAGACAATGTCAAGTTGAAAGTTTTGAATAGTGAAGAATACAAAAAGTGTTGCTGCTATCAAACGATCTGAGTCCCAAAATGAAATGCAATATAAAATGCAAACTTGTGTGAAAATTACTATTTAGCAAATAAACATTGATTTGATTATTGATATCGTACACTATGCGTACAAGTATATGTAGATGTATTAATGTAGAAGAAGCGAAAGACACACTTCTTAAGCTTCTTCTCAAGTACAGCGCTAAAAAGAGTCTCTAGTCTCTGTCTAGGGCACCGGATTACGGGCAAGAGTTACGATGTTGTTGGATAGTACATTAGTCGGTTTAATCACGTTTGAAAGATATTTTGCTTTTATTATACATTTTGTCCGTGATCTCTGATTTAGAAAATAAAAGAAGTGGCCCACTAAGATTCAAATTAACTTTTAAAATGTTATTTAAAGAAACAGAAATGTGTCGAAAATGATTTCATTTTCCCGGGTAAACATATTTTCGTTTTAAATAATGGCAGCACCGGGAAACGTGTCTATTATGAAAATTTTGTCTATGGTCTAGTGTGGAGGAAAGAGAAAAGCAGAAGCACGAAACGATCGAGAAAGATGTTTGATATTTTCTTTGAATTATTTTAAAAATTGATTGGTTGCGTGAGAACACATTTCGGTTGTATTAAAGGTAAATGTTATTTAGTGTATTAAAAATAACGAAATTGATTTGGCGATAGTCAGCTTATAGTTAATTCTATTAGAATTTAAATGCACATTTCATTTCGTACGCAATAGAAAGGAGTGAGTTATATAACCTTGAATCACGGGATCTCAGTATTGATTATTACTAGGTAAAATATAAGTACTTTCCAGGTAAGTATTTTTATTATCAATAAAATGCGTAATCAAGATTAACTCTGCAATTTCTTAAGGTTGCGTTGTACCGAATGATATCAATGACATTTCGATAAGGGAGTAATTTAGTTACTCGGAATAAATCATCCTAAACTTAATACATCTTAACATTGTTCTATTTCGTATTAATTCATTTATATTTCCCAGTTATTGTAAACTTGAAAGTTAAATTTAGACTTGTACCAGTAACCTTGAAAATACTATGACGTGCGCCAAGTTCTCGAAATATTGGAAGATACCAAGTTTAAAAAAATAAACAATTTATTTTCTATTTTTCCCGTACGACGTACAAAATTTTTCATAATCTAAATATTAATAAAGTACATTTATGGAATAATGTAGATAATCCAATAAACATTAATCTAATTCTGCCCTTAAGGCTTACAATTGTAAATTTTAAAACTTGAGCAATTTCTATTGAATTTCGAGTATTATGTAAAAACCTTTTTTATGTACTAAACAAGATTTTTAATTAAGCTATATTTCATTTTAATACATAACAATCATAAAATTATTGGAATCTCATGTTTCAATGCATTTTTGATAAGAATTAATTACTAAACTTTTGATTTATTAGTTATGTAGTATAGATGAAATATTTGAATATTCATAATACACTTTAGTAAATATGTTTTAGTGTTAAAAAATTGTATGTAAGGCAATACTTGAAAAAGGTATATATGTACAACATTGCATAATGTTAATTAATAAATAATAAAGTATAGTAAATGTGCTTTAGCCATTATTACTGTTTATTCTTACTATTGTTTTTTAAATACCAAAAGTATGCGTCTTTTGCCTTTTTTATTTTTATGTTGAGTGTAAATCATGAGAACACATCACATTATGTAAATGCATCAAGAAATAACATAATCCTAAAAAATATTTTAAACCTATTTTTTAAATAAATCACTATAACTACATTTTCTATTACATTTGATTGTCATAAAAGAGGTGCAAATAAAATTGATTATGAAGTGTTTAATATACCTTCTATTCCCTTAAACCTTAAAACATTATAAGTGAGTGTACTGTTGAATTTGCTTCTTGTCATGGTGCCAATTAAACTGGTGCAATGGTAGTATTGACCTACATTTTGACTGCATAATTGAATTTTATCTAACAACCATGGCATACTTGAACAATCCATTGTTATTTTAAATATTTGTTCAATATTTGTACAAGATATGGTGAATTCTGAAAATTTTCTTTGTATATTTAATTTTTTAACATTTTCTTTTGAGTACAATTTTTTTTTAGTTAATCTTGAATTCACATTTATTAAATCATTTTTAAAAAGTATATTAAATAAAACAAGTTTTTGTGATCAGCGCACTTGTGAAATTAAAAGTGTTTTATGACAAAAGATCAGCAGTGTAATAGGGTGCATTTTTTAAAAGCTTTTCCTTAGTTGGTTGAGCAATCTGCAGTCTGCTAATTCAGGACCTTATTTAGTTTTCTCTGATAGGTTGAAGAAGTAATTCGCTTGGTTACTTCTAATATAAAAAAAAAATTCACAACCAGAGCACCACCGGAGATATGCGGTAACACATAAAAACATACAGACGAATTGATAACCTCCTTCTTTTTGAAGTCGGCTAAAAAATTTAAAGCATTTATTTTGTCCCCAGATCTATTTTAGTAAAGAGTCCATAGACAGAAATAAACATGCATCGTGCAAGAATTGTGCTTCAGACATCTAACAAATTAGGCAATAGTGAGAGATTCGCATCATGGCTTTTAAACAAACCACAGGTGAGTTTTAACCATAGTGTTGATTGAAACACAGAGTACAATTACATGTTAATTGATTTTCTGTCATAATAGTACTTCATAGAGACCTGAACATATTTTGTTTAAAGAGGAGAAACTGCAAGTCATATTAGCTATCATTATAATAAAATTAGTTTAATTATCATTATCTTTTTATATTAACTTTGTGCCAAGCCTCCTGAATTGATAATGAATTATCTTGGAAGGTGCAATGATTGTTATTGTTTTTTTAATATTTTGTATTACCTTAAAACAAGCTGTCACATTTATATATCAGTGTTTTGACAAAGAAAATAATATATATGAAAATAATATATAGTTATGGCAATTTGTATACTAGTGTATTGACAATGGAAACCCAGTTATACATTAATATAAAATGTTTGTTTATACAGAGTGCTGCTGTAACGGTAAATGCCCAAAGGCTGAAGAGTTCCACAGCAGCAGAGCCATTCCTCAATGGTTCCAGTTCCGCCTATGTTGAGACCATGTACAATGCATGGCTCTCTGACCCCAACTCTGTGCATGCGGTGAGTTAAACTTTTATCTATGTACAGCTATATACAGGATGTTCAAAATTTATTTGTGCAATAGAAGACTACTGGAAAGGTGTGCATATAGTATGCATGCATATGGACATTTACTATTTCTATATCTATAGTAGTTGAAGGTTGACTGTTTAGCATAAACACAAATAAAAAAAGCAAATGTCAGTGATTACTAGGCATGATTTAAATACATATATCTACATGGTGTTTGGTATTTTTAAATGCTAATGATCTTAGGTAAAAATTACAATAATTAGTTCCATTGAAGAAGATTCTGATATTAAAAGTCTGCAATATGATATACACAAATCAATATGAATTTGCTTCTCGTCTCGCCGTTGTCTAGACCTGATTAATAACAACATGGAACTATGAATAGATAACCTATTTAATTGCTTATGTAATAGAAATCGATTTTAGTTTTGTTTATGATTCAAGTATATAAATAAATTTAGTTACTTTCATTTTCATATGAGAAGGGAGTAGTATCCGAAATTAATGTAGTATTATATTAATTAAATTTTTTGTTATTTATAAGCAATCATTTTTGTATTTGTGTACAAACAGTCAAACTGGATGTGAATAGTGCTAATTTCAAATTTTAATCCTAGGATTGCTCTTATTTATGATGGGATGTGCATATTTTCTTATCGGAATCACTCTTAAAGTTAGATATAGATCTTTAATGTTATAGAGTATTTAGAATGAGGAGGTTCAAGTACAACAATTGAAATAAATTATTCTTTTAGTTGAGTAGGTACACTGTCTTTCGTATTGTTCATCAATTAACACTTATTGTGTTCAGTTTAAATATTGTGTCGCATTATTTGACTTTCATTTATTTTAATGGGTATATACTCTTGGTGAATTCAGTTTTATATATAAAAAGATTGACAAGAATGATTATTGTTATTAAAGAGTATTTGTTTTATTCCAAGATTTCTTCTGTTGAGATAGGGATCTGTAGTGTTTATTTTTTGTAAAATTCTCATAAATAAGAATTTTTATTCTTGTTTGTCAGTAATAGGATATTTTTTATATGTTTAAAATGTAATATATTTAGGCGATAAACAACATTTAAGAAAACAAAATTGTTAAATCGTGCAAGGTTAATTTGCGGGCGCGTTCTAACAGTATCCAGTTATTACCTGCCTTAGCTCGGTTGTGGTTGCGATGCTAATCCGCTAACAAGTGCGTCCACATGCTGACATTGTGTCACCTCATGACCAGAGTGCAAAGCCAAGGACGATATGTCTTGTATTAAAATGTACAGTAAAGAAATTAAATTTCCTTACCATTTATAATCGACAGAAAATTGTCGTTATAAAAGCTATAGTTTTCTAGCACATTTAGCATGAATCTGGCTTTGATTATTTTTCGATTTAACTGCAATGTGACCCTCAAATAAAATTTCAGCAAAGTGGGCTAATGTTTGCGATATATTTTATATCGAAAAAGTGCTTGTTCGGCAATGATAACGACAATAAAGATTGTCAATTAGTGATGATAATCCAGTAAAGGCGTAACTTCGGTGAATATTACAATAATTATTGCTCAGCAATATCCGAGGTCGTCTGCCTCATCATGTTGTCTCTTAGATTAGTCCACTCTTCGTATCTATTGAATGAAATGTAATGTTTTTAAATAGAAAATGTAATTTTGCGTCTGTAAAAATCTTTAGCACATGTTTTGTTATCCTAATAAAGTTCTTTTAGACAAAACTCCCTTTTCTTGTAACTTAGTAGGAGTACTTAAGGATCTTAACAGTATCCATAAGTGCCAAAA